ATTCTCAATTCTAAGCTTATCTAATCAAACTCTTCATACTAAATAATAAAAACAACAGAGTACTAACAATGTGTTAAGTACTGTTAAGAGTATCAACTAAGTAATCACTAAGCCATTTTATTTTCACAAAAATTCTATTTCATTTCTTTTTTAGGGCAGATACCAGGGTTTGAAGTCAAGGACTACAATACTAGGCAAGTACTCTACCACTGAGCCATAACTTCAATCCTTTACTATGCTATTTAGGTTTGAGGCAAGGGAGAGAGGCATGTGCCTGGACCACAATACACAAATTAGGCTTCCCATTATAGCAAGGATGATAGCCACGTGCCACCACATCCAACTTCTTCTGTTGAGATGGGAGTTTCATGGATTTTCCTGCTCAGGCTGGCCCTGATCTGAAATCTTCTTTATCTAAGACTCCCATGTAACCAGGATTATAGGCATGAGACATTGGCATCTTGCCTTTATTCCATTTCTTATAATACCATCCATTTTGAAAATATGGAAACATGATCAAGTGGTAACAAAACTTTTCCAAGGCCAAAAAGTTACAGAGCTAGGGTACTTCTTGTCTTCTTTCTAATCCCAATAGTTTGCTTAATTTTATAAATCTTTAATACATGTGTTTGTGTGTTATTGGGGTTTGAACTGAGGGCCTTGCGCTGTCAATGACTTTTTTCACTCATGGCTGGCACTCTACAGATTGAACATCTCCACTTCCAGCTTTTTGCTAGTTATTTGGAAGTAAGCATCTTGTAGATTTGTCCGCTTGAGCTGACTACAGATCCTCAGATCTCAGCCACCTGAGTAGCATAAGGATTACAGGTTGAGCCACTGACACTCGGGTTATTATATGTTTATTTGCTTATTTATTCTCTATTTCTCTCTATTAAAATGTAAGCTCCGGGAGAACTTACAAGGACTTCTGTTTTCTTCACTGTTCTATTCACGGTGACTAGAAACCACCTACCCTCAGCTTGGGCTCAATACTTGCTGAACAAATGAATGAAGGCAGTACAAGGATGTTCTCTTGGTTATCAGCACACTGAGTCATTTTTAATAATCCAGAACACTTTCTTGCCAACAGCAAGGTACACTATACTCACAACATTTTAAACCAGAGGAAACCTGAAATTAGACTTCAATGAAACTCCCTTCAAGTTGAAATCTTTACTGGATCAAAATAAGCAGACTCTAATCTCAAAACATAAATTATCTTATCTTGAAAGTAATCAATACAAAAAAGGTTACTGGAGTGACTCAAGTGATAGAGCATTTGCCAAGCAAATAGAAGACCCTGAGTTCAAACCTGCTAGTACCACCAAATAAATAAAGACTATAAAACATATCCCTTATTTGTGAAATGTGGTAAATTATTCAAAGCTTAGGAAAAGCCTAAAATATCCACTATGACATGTATGCAGCATTATACTAAAGGTCCTATCCAGTCAAGAAAAAGCAAATAACAAGTACAAGGTTAGAAAAAAGATTTGCTCCTCTTCCCAGATAAATACATCACTTATGTAGACTGAATCTACAAATGAGTTATTAGAATATGTAAGAGAATTTAGCAGATCATTCCTATATACAATCAAAAAACAAATATGTAAAACATTTTATAAAACTATGAAATCATAAAGTATCTAAAAGTAAATTTCACAATGATATATAGAATTTTTCAGAATAAAATTTTATTGTGCAGAAATAAAAAAAGCCTAAATAGATCTGATGTCTATTGTAATGGTATGAATTCTGTCTATGAATTTAAAAATTCAGTACAATGCCCAAAATATACCTTAAAAATTTCCATGTAAATGCTTTTTATAGAATGATTCTAAGAAATGTAAGAATCAGATTGGCAGAAACATTTTTTTTTCCAGGTCCTATGGCATAAACTCTGGGCCTGAGTGCTGTCCCTGAACTTCTTTTGCTCAAGGCTAACTCTCTACCACCACTTGAGCCACAACACCACTTCTGGCTTTTTCTGAGTAGTATACTGGAGATAAGTATCTCATGGATTTTCCTGCCCAGGCTGGCCTCAAGCCACAATTCTCAATTCTCAAACTCCTGAGTAGGATTACAGGCATGAGCCTCCTTCTAGCCTGGCTAGAAACACTCTTATAAAAGAAACAGTATCTGCTCTACTATGTGTTATAAGAAAGCATTTTTTTTTTCTGGCCATGAAACTTGAACTCAGGCCGGGGCAATGTCCCTGAGCTCTTTTGTTCAAGGCTAGTGCCTCTACCACTTTGAGCCATAGCTTCACTTCTGAAGTCTCATAGGGACTTTTCTGCACGAGCTAGCTTTTTATCTCAATCCTCAGATCTCAATCTCGTGAGTAGCTAGGTTTACAAAAGTGAGCCACTAGCACCCAACTGAGAAAGCACATTGCTTGCACAGAAACATATTACAAGATTAACATTGCAGAATAGAAGGGCCAAAAACCACAATCCCGCACATATAGGCACTGGAGAGATCACAGGTGACATAGCAATAAATGCTGGGAGAACTGGTTATCTGTATGGGGTAAAAAGGAAATGGAGTCACTACTTCCCATGCATGACAAAGTATTAAAACATAAAGAAAAGTTTTGATAAATTTTGTCACATTAAAACTAAGAACTTCTACTTAAGGCATAATTTCTAATATTGTGTAAGAAGTCGAAAATACTTAAAACCCACATAAACAACAAGAAATCAGAAGCAAATATATTTTTAAAAATTGCAAAACTTAATAAGAAAAAGTGACAAACTAAACAGAAAAATGAACCAAAGACCTAACAGTACTTCACAAGAGGAAATATAAAAGATACATAGTCACTAGAGCAGTGAAAATTAAAATCACAGTAAGACACTAATACAATACATAACAAGAGTGACAAAAATTAAAAGTACTGTAACATAAACAGTGGTGAAGACACAGAGCAACAAGAACTCTCCTACTCTTCATGATGTGAACAACCGGTACAACCACTTCAAAAAACAGTTGGCAATATCTAACACTATTGAAGAAATTCATAATATGCAATACAATAATTTCACTCCTATTTTTACATTCCACTTAACTATAGGTACATGTACCAGAAAACATGCCCTGAAATGTTTGTATGTTATTTTTTTTTTTTTGTCGGTCGTGGGGCTTGAACTCTGGGCCTGAGCGCTGTCTCTCAACTCTTCAGCTCAAGGTGAGCGCTCTACCACTTAAGCTACAGCGCCACTTCCGGTTTTCTGGTGGTTTATTGGAGATAGGAGTCTCATGGTCTTTCCTGCCCGGGCTGACTTTGAACTGCGATCCTCAGATCTCAGCCTCCTGAGTAGCTAGGATTACAGGCGTGAGCCACCAGCACCCAGCTTGTATGTTATTTTTAACAGCTAGAAACTCCAGAACCTGAGAACAAATCAAATTTTCATCTATAACAGAGTATCTGTGGGATATCCATAAAACAGAATACAATATAGCAGTAAAAATAAACCACAGCCGAAGGACCAATATCAAAAATGTTTTTAAAAAGAGGCTAAACCAAAGAAAATGCATGATTTAAAAATTATGAATCCAATATTGTCAAGTTCAGGAAAGTTTAGGGATGCATACATTATGTGTACTATGAAGTATAAAGATAAGCAAAAAACTCTCAGTCCAGAAGTCATGATAATGGTTATCTATGGGGAAGAGAGATGGTTATAACTGGAAAAGGGTGTGCAAGGGATAATACTGCCAATTAAGCTCTATTTCTTGATCTGAATGGAGGTTACATCAGCATTTATTTTATAATTGTCAGTCCATGTTTTTTACATGCTTTCTGGATGTAGGGTTTTGTGTGTCTGTCTGTCTGTCTGGTGTATGCTCACACCAGTCCTGGGGCTTCAACTCAGGACCTGGATGCTGTCTCTAAAGCTGCTTTGCTCAAGGCTAGTATTCTACTACTTGAGCCACAGCTCCATTTTGGGCTTTTTGGTGTTGAACTGGAGGAAGAGTCTCACAAATTTCCTGCTTGGGTGGGCTTTGAACGGCAATCCTCAGATCTCAGCCTCCTAATAATCTAGGATTAGAGGCATAAGCCACTGGTACTTGGTTTTGAATGTGTATTTCCAAAATTAGAAGAAAAAAAAAGAATAACAAAATGAAAATATCAATACAAGGGATTCATTGTAGTATCTGTTATTCCAATACCAGCAATTGTATGGTTGCTTAGAGAAGTGAAAGACATCCTACTATGACAACATTCACTAATATTCATTACTTAATGAACAGATCACATAAACTTTCCTTGACCAGGTTAACACCAAAAGCTTCTCTTACTTACTGTAAACATTTATAGAAGAGCAAATCACTTACAAACTCATTTATTTAAAAAAATAATAATTTATGTCTGCTACTTGTCAAGCAAGTTCTAGGGGACTACCCAAGTCCAGAATAGACAAAGTCAGAGGCAAAGCATGAGAACCACCATACCACTTGGCCTTTTCTCTCTTAACCCTCCTTTCCTACCAAGTTTCAAACATGAAAAATCTAAAAGCAACTCAAGGCACACAGCCAGTCATTATCAAAATCCCCACTTTAGGAAGTCTTCACTCCAGAGGTACCTGTTTGAATTCGTTTAGCAAAAATCATACCCTGTCTTTGAGGATGAGACTTCTTATCAAGATCCCTGAGTCAAGGCCCGTCTTAGCGATAGCGCTGATGTGGAAACTAACTCAAGTGGAGTGAAGACTTCAAGGAATGCTTTAGCTGGGTATCCAAAGTTCAGATGCTTGCACAGAAATTATACTCTAGGTTCTGTGTGTACTCTGTGTTGGCTCAGATCAGAGTCCAAAACTTTCACGTGACTGTCAAAGGGGGTCCAACCAAAAGAATAAATGAACATTGATCCCAACCAGATGAGTAGCCTAGTTTTTGATGGACATGGTGAACATGAATCTGGACCCAAGCTAAGGGTATGTGAGTTGAAACCCAGGTGTCTGACTCCTAGACCTCAGCTCAGGTTGCCAGATACTTACTCTTAGCTCTTCGAAGGCTTCATCTAGGGTGGAGAGCTGGTGGCCCTGGTGGGCCCCAATGACTGGACACAGGACACAGATGAGCTGCCTATCCTCCTGGCAATAGGTACTCAAATCGAGCCCATGGTCCGGACACTTCCTCTTGGCCACTCTCTCTGCTTCCATTTCTATTTCGGGGTCAAATTCGCTTTCGGCCTCAGTTTCCCCTTCGGCCTCTGATTCTCCCTCTTGGTTGTCTTCCTCGGCTTCGCTTTCCTGCTCGTCCTCCATTTCTTCCTCGCTGTCTTCTTCGCTCTCCTCGTCGCTCTCTTCCTCCGTCTCGCTCTCTTCTTCCGACTCACTGTCTCCCTCAGACTCGCTCTCTTCTTCCCCGGCCTCACTCTCTATCTCCCTGTCGGGCTCCCCCTGGGCCTCGAGGTCTTCCTTCCCCGCCACCTCCCCGGGGGCCCGCGAGGTCCAGGCCGGGGCGCCATGGACGTACTCGGCCAGGTGGTGAGAGAGGAACTTCTGCTTGTGCGCCTCGGCGTGGCGGTGGCAGTAGCAGAAGCCGCATTCCCGGCACACTTCCTCGGCCCCGGGAGCCTCGTCGGGCTCGCACTCGTCACACGTGCCGTCGTGAGGCAGCTCCTCCAAGGCCGCGCCCACTCCGGAGGCCATGTGGGCGCCGGGATCCGGGCCGAGGCCTGAGGGGAGGGCGGGGGGGGGAGGCGGGGAGGGGAGGAACGCGAGCGCGCCGCCTTCCCGGGCCTCGCGGCGGCCTCCACACGACCTCGCTACCCGCTCCCGGCTTCCGTCCCCTTGGGAAATCGGCACCCGACTGGGCGGGTTCGCACTCACTGCCGCCGCTGCCGCGACTCAAAAAAGCACGGCCTTCGGGGCCCGCGGCAGCCCCGGACGGAGCCCCGAGCGCAAGACTTCCGCCCGCTCGGCCTGCGACGAGCAACGCAGCGCTGGGTTTCCGCCCCCGCCGCTCACTTCCGGTGCGGCCGCCCCGCGCGCCCCGTCGGCCCCCGCGCCCCGCGCGCGCAGCTAGCTCGGCCTCCCGCCTGCCCGGCTAGATCGTGGCCGCGGCCGCTGCGGCTGGCCCCGCGCCGCCCCGGTTCCACTTTCCCTTCACCGTCAGACGACCTCTTTTCACTTCCTGAGTCATTTAAAGTGGCAAGGGCCCATTTCTAGGTGCCCTGCGGGACTGAGCTCGGGTATCCCACGCCTGAGCAGCCCTGCGAGGAGGTGGAGGGCCACGGCCCTGCCAGCCTTCCTGGAAGGAGGAGGAGATGGATGGATGCGAGGATGCATGGAGCCCCGCCTCCCTGGCTCCCTCCCGGCAGGTGTCAACCCGACTTACTACAATCTGTAGTCTGGAGCCTTGTAAAGTCTTCCTCGCGACAGTCTGATGGATGCATGCATGCATGTATGCAGCATGCATGCCTGGAGCCCCGCCTCCCTGGCTCCCTCCCTGCAGGTGTCAACCCGACTTACTACAATCTGTTGTCTGGAGTCCTTGTAAAGTTCCTCGCGACAGTCTGATGGATGCATGTATGCAGCATGCATGCCTGGAGCCCCGCCTCCCTGGCTCCCTCCCTGCCGGTGTCATCCTGACTTAGTAAAATCTGTAGTCTGGAGTCCCTGTAGACTTCAGTCTTTCTCATGACAGTCTCAAACTTCCCACCACCATCCTCGACATTCTGCAAGGTGCCAAGACCTAGTCGTAACCAGGCTGACCCTGATCTCTTTGGATTTCTGCAGGGCCCCCTGAAGGGCTGTTTGTTCTTCTAGGCTCAGGGAATCTGAGTCTGATGGAGCAAGCAAATCTTTCCTTTCTGGAGCAATACTATGCTTTGTTTTCTATGTCTGTATTTCCTGACTTCTAGGGGCTCAGAACCTCGGGGGCCATGGCCCTTTTCTGAAAGCTTGCCTTGGATGAACCCGATGTCAGCTGAAGCTAAGTGGAGAGAAAGTTATTTGTTCAGTGAGAGTTCCCAGCTCTTTTGTGTAAGCAGTCCTTTAGACTCAGATTGGGCTCCAAGAGACACGAAGAGGATATTATATATTAAATAGTACTAAAGTGCCAAGTGCTGCATGGATTAGTAAATTCACCATTCTATTTTCCACTTTAAAAAAAAACCCATAAGCTAAGTGGAGGTAATAATACCTACATCGTGGGGGTGTTTTGTGGATTAAATGAAAAGTGTTTACACTATAGAGTGTTCAGTAAGCTTTTCCATTTTTGCACAAATTATATTTAGTGTTCATAATGACCCTTTGAAGAAAACTGTTAAACACATAGGACATTTGGGCTCTTTGTTGATAATGTACACATCTTCCAATCTGTATGGAATATAGAGGACTGTCCATTCACAGAAAAGCTTTTGTTTAATATTAGCAGAGGAAAAAAGGACATTTTGATCTAGTAAGGGGAGAAGCTCAGGTGTGGTTAGGAAGAATGGAAGGGAATGAATGGTGCCTATTGATTTCTTTAGATAACTTTAAGCTAGGATTTCCGTGGATAATATGTGCTTAATCTTTGCTCAGCTTTTTTATTTATTTATTTTAGAAACCTTTTGTTTATTAACTCCAGAACTTAGGTTTTGTTATTCTGTTTCCACACACATTTCTGTTATTTCTGAGTCTTCATGTGAAACAGCCATTGATGCACCATTCTGGAAAGAAAAAAGAAAACCAACCAATCTCAAGTACCAACATTAGCATACAGTATCTAGTAAATAGTGTTCCTTGTTTTGTTATTTCCATTTTCTTCGCCAGGCTTAGAAGGAAAACAACTTACTTTTTACAAACATAATGTTATCACATCTAGGGAATCTTGTTTTTTTTTTAAGAAAACATGTTCTAATATCTTGAAAGAACATTTTTGTCCAGACATAGTTGTGAGTGCCTGTAATCCCAGTTACTTAGGAAGCTGGGGTAGAAAGATCATAAATTGAGCTACATAGGAGTTTGAGTTCAACCTGAACAAGTTAAACAGACCTTGTCTCAAAGTAAAATTGAGAAACAGCTGGGAATGCAGTTCAGTAATAGATCACTTGCCTATCGTGAATAATGCCTGGTGGTAGGGTTCAATTCTCAGTACCTCAAAAAAATAAAAAGAACATTTTAGGTCCAGGGCCTCCAGTGGGGCAAAGGGACAGGGTATTGATGGTATTATCATTGTTACTGTTTCTTCTTTATTTTAACCTAGTAAAATTGAAATGTAATTTTAATATCAATATCAGTTCAATATCTGATACTATTCTTCCTTGAGCCTTCTGTGGAGACAGAGTCTTACAAACAGAACCAAATGAAAATATTTAAAGTGGACTTCATAAAGTTCTCTTAATATAGTATGGCAGATATAATAAGGCAATCTTCTATATTTTTCTCCTCAACAATCAGAGTCATCTATTTTTCCATGAGTCAAAGACTTTGGATGCACCATTGTTATAGTACTCTGGGTAGACTTATTACCTCAAATATATAGCATCTTAAAATAATGGACATCTGTTATCTCATACAGTTTCTGTAAGCTGGAGACCTGGGAGTGGCTTGACTGGGTGAGTCTGGTTTAGAGTCTGTCCAGAGACTTCAGTCATTTCAAGATTAATGAACAAATGTAGAATTTGCTTCCAAGATGGTTCACTCTGATGACTATTAGTTGGAGGCCTCATTACTTTCTATAGAGCTGCTTGATTATTCTAGCAATACAAATACAGTAAACAGTTGCATTCTGCCAAACCAAGAAATCTAAGAGAGGGTAAGATGGAAGATACAACTTGACTGAAGCTCAGAAATCATGAATCATCATTAACAACACAGACCCATTGATTACAGAAATCAAATCTATTCAATATGGAAGGTACTACATAAAGATATGCACATATCAACAGAAGGGGGAGTCATTGGAATGGTCTTGGAAGCTGACTACTTCTGTCTACACTTTGGTGTAATGATTCAAATGCAAAATATTCTCATTTCTTCCTTGTCTTCCCCCCCCAAAAAAATGTTAACTCATGGCATCATCAATCCAGAATCTCATCACCTAAGTTGAGTCCAGCTATGTATGAATATCCTAGATATAAAATTTAAGCATAGCTTCTCAGCTGTAAACTCTCTTCATCTTAACATCTGTGTTTCTCATTCTCCCAAACTACAGTGATGAGACAGACTTAGGAACAGACATTCTTGTTCAGAAAGGAGGAAAGAGGAGACTCGGGAGAGTTACTAGGTTATAGAATTTTTAAATCCCGTTGCATCCATATTGGAAATTTCTTTTATTGGGACTCATACATACTCCTGCCTGAGAATGACTCTCTGTGGTTCTTGGCTTTACCTGTTAGACTCTTGATTACATTCTCTAAGTCAACTCTCATTCTCCATTAAAAGTAGCACGTGTTTGTAGCTCTAAATTTTGCCAGTTTGCTTCTGCCAGTAGAATTTAGGGGCTACAAAGGCCACTTTTCATTTTGTACTCTCTCAGTTCAAGTTGGCAGTACTTTTGCCAATGCAACTATCCTTGTAAATCTAATTGTTCTCTCTATGTTGGAAAAAAATTCATACCTACAAATCTCTTGAAGTTAAGCCCTTCTCTTCTGTGGAGAGTCCTTCTGCTAAATCTGATGAGGTATAACATCCTAAAGTATCCTTAAAGCTCTGATGTTTGTCTGAATGATTCTCTGAAATCACTACTTCAGACCTTTTGAAAGTCTAAAAACACAGTCTTACATATAATTGTTACTTCATCATTTGATGAAGAAATAAATAATTGTTTATGCTTATAATATTTCCTGCCTGGGAATTTTCAAAACTAGCAAGTTCTTTTTTTAGAGTTCTTCATTTAGATGGTTTTGTTTTGTTTTTTATATTTTTGCTATAACCAGCAAGAAGATACCAGCTAGAACCTTAAAAACTGTAGCAGAAAGTACCTTTAGCTACAACACCCAATTGACTGGGCCTGTTTTCTACTTTCCACATATCTGCCTCTCTACATAAAAATTACCCTTTTCTTCCACTTCCCCATTACATTTTTTTCTCACATATACCTTTTTGAAGACCACCAGGATTCTACAGTTTCTTCATGACTCCAATCTTCTATTACCATGATCTTGAACTTCTAGCTTCTGCTTACTGCCCAGTTCCAAAGCCATTCCAGCATTTCAGATTTTTGTTATGGAAGAATTTCACTCCATAATAAAATCTGTATTAGTGGCCTATTGCTGCATAACAAATTACTCTAAAACCTTGAGTCACCTTGACAATGATCACTGTGTTTGGTGTTGGCATTGTTCTCATTGGTTAGCAACAACTGTGAGGCATCTTGAAGATGCTCAGCAGACAGTAGATAGGGATAACAGGATCATTTGCAGCCATGACTGTCTTGTGAATACCCTTGGGACTCTCAGAAACAAATGGTGTATTCTTAAAGATCAAGTGTCTCCTTTTATATGACAGCTCTTAAGTCTTTAAACATTTGAACTCTTCATTTAAATAAAGAAACTAAGTTCAGAGACCCAGAGAGGTGATGAAATTTAATTAGAGTTTACCCAGCCAGAATGTAGCTGAGATGGGACTCAGATTCATATCTAACTCTGTCATATCATGTTCTGCTGTGGAACATGTAAGTGATACTCCAAATTTCCAAGTTGTTTCCTCCAATTGTGAAATCCATTTCTCTTTCCTACCATTTCCTAACTTAGTACAATTAATTTCAGAAAACCCTTTAGAATTCAGTAAGAGAACAGAATGGAATTTCAAAGTTCACTGCTTTAGGGAAGGTATATAAACCCCTAAGCTGGTCCTATTCTTTAGTAATTAGGCTGTCACTCCAGTGATTGATTTCATTTTCCCCAATGAGCCCCTACATCTCATCTCATGCTGTTATTATATTAGCTAACATCTGAACATATTATGTCAGTGTGGTGAAATACGCTAGCCCATCCTAGCCCTGCCAAAATATAAAGGATG